AACAGGACTTTAACGCTTTGGCGCGGATGTCCTCTATATAGTAGCTGGTTGTTAATCAATGAAAAGACAAGGGTCAAAAGCGACCCGACGCGACGTCGCGTCGTCTAGATAAGGGTCAGTACAGTATGTGGTGGATGTCCGAAAAGCGTGAGCCGTGACGAGCAGGTAATCGGGTGACCGTATTTCCTGCTCGAGAGAAGATCGATAGAGACGAGGAATCGAAATTGTAACGGCCTAGAGAATAATCGAGGAGGAAGGACCTAATAGCCGAACCGCGTAATGGCGGTGAACCGGCCAATATCAAGTTATACCGTGTTGGGAATAGGATATCAAATAGTGCACCAAACCATGTCACGCCTACAGCTACCTTCTAATGAAGATTAGGCGTCACTTGATCGTTTAATTGAATACCATGAAGCACTCTTACGTGTTACGCGATTCAGATTATATCTAAGGGTCTTTGTACGGTAGGTGTAGCCTGCTCGTGTCCCAGACGTGTTTGCCTCGCTGTAAATTCATGAATAAATGCATTAGAATTTGAAAAGGTATGAAAATTGTGCGACCTTACAGGTATCTCGTTCAACCCTGCTGTTCTTCCTACTTTTGCTTTCATTTTGGAACTCTAGGGACATATAAAAGTTTCCATAGTTTTTGTGTAATTTTTAAAATACTTTTACAATACCTCTTATCGCTGTTTATAGGGGACGCAAGTGGTTACACGCCTCCAATATATTAAGGGTATGTTAATGTTTTTAAATTTTGGTGCAATCTGTTTCTAAAAAGTATGACGTATTAGAAAGATAAACGCAAAATTTAAATATACTAAATATTTAAAATTATAGTACTTATGGAAATGTAATCTTTATTAAAATTTGGTGTCGCGTAGACTCAAGGAAAATGATAGAGTAAAAAGCATCTGTTTAAAATTTCATTTATTATGAAAAAAGTATGAGTACATTATATTTCTTGCAAGCACTTTAAAAATAAGAGACAGAATTTAAACAATTCAGGAACGTTTCAATGCAAATGAATGATAAGAACCGATTTAAAAAAAACGAAACAAATCCGAAGTTAATGAAGTGTCTGTACTCGGGCAGGTCTTTTCTGTTTTTCTTTCATTTTCTTAAATAAGCAGGGGGAAGTTTTGATAGCTTTAATGGTCCTCCAATAGCCTGCCTCTATCCTTTTGGCTTTCCAAGGAAAAAATTGTATTTTAAATATTTCAATGATAAACTAAATCTGGAAACTGCCTACCAACCTTTTTCTCCAAAAAAATGTATTTTATTCAGAATATTTTGAGTGTAAAATAACGGTACTGCAGTTTGTTTGCTGTAGTATAATTTTCATTTTTTCTGTGTGTACATTCATGCCATGATTTGCTCTGTTTAATTATGTCCATCATTTTGCATATTAAAGTCTATTATAAATATGTAACAATACAGCAGTAATATAATTGCAATATAATACTAGTATAATAAAAATATAATAGACAGCAGTACGATAACAATACAAAAATAATATGAGTAGTATTAGTAATGCAATGAACCTGCAGAGTAAAATAAATCTTCACTTAAAAAATAACAATCCATCGAGCATTTCTCACTATTTAAAAGGGTTAATGTGGTTACGAAAGAGGTTCACATAGCAATTTCGTTTCCTATACAACAGTGGCACTGCAATATTGGCTTTCCAATACCGATACAAACTCCAATTACTATCTACAATAGAGTATTGGCCTTGCTGTGTTCGATACCATTTGATCACGTAGAATGATTAGCTTTACAATACAATCTGCTATTTTTCTTTCTACAAACTTAACAGCATCATTAAAAATACATCAACTTAAATTGCCACATAGTGAAACAAAATATTGCAAACACTGAAGTGTCATTAAGAAGCATTACTTTGATTTATGGTTTGATACAACTGATAACCAACCATCTTGTATTAAAAATATTAATGGAAGCTTAGTGTAGATATTTTCATGAATTTCCAATTTCAATTCAATATTCCATAGATACTATTTAATGAAACCTTTATGTCATCAAATCATATCAAACTTTTGATGTTTCGAAATCAATCATTGTTTGCTGTAACTGGTAAGCAGTCAATTTATATTTAGAAATCTTATTTCTGTTATGAAATCTTATTAGATTTTTTTGATTACCTAATTGAAGATTATCTTGCACATTAACAAAATATAAAATAACGTACAGTTGTGACATATTGTCCCAAAGAAGGTCAGAAACATCTACTGCAACATATGTGTCCTGCTAGGATCGAAAGGATTAAAGTGTTTTTGAGCTTCAGAAAATACGTTGCAAACGTAAAAATGATACCTTCATAAAAACTCCTGAATTATGAAGTCTTAAAGTACATAATTAGCGTTTCGAGAGATTCATCGTTTTATACATATGTTCGTTGGTGAGTTAGCGGAAGCAAGTTTCCCATAAAGCAACAGACGTTCGGATGGAGGGACCATTAACGGACAATGGGACAACGTGAAAGCTTAGCTAAGCTTTAAACAGCTTTGTACAGCTTTGTGCATCCTTGATTCCTTGAAGGGAAGCCTCTGTACCGTGTGCTAAACCCAGTAATGTCAAAGATTACTTGCTGTTACGTACTGTACTTTAATCGATTAAATTGATTTTACTTTGAATTCCTTAATGCTATTGGAATCCTTGAATTTTAATTTCCGTGGTACAAATTTATAAAAGGATTGAGAACCACTGTAACCTTGGGATACCTCAATTTACCTGGAAAGTGGAAATATTTCATAAAACTACATATTTGTATAAATACCCGCATTTTAAGGAACGTACATTTTACACGAAATAAGACAAACATTTCCAGTTGTAATATTAAAAAGCACAACTTGTATGCGACGTAACATGTACGTACATAAGTATCTCCCATTTACATTTTGTTTCTGCCAGACAGGAAATAAAACGTCATAATTTATACAAAACATTATTTCTGCAGCACTTCATTTCCATTTTTTCTACATTACAAACCTTAATTAGAAATTGCATTGCGTAGATCTGGTCGTTTAAAGTATTTTATTGTATTAACTCTCATGTGGCACTCAAATTTTTATTATATTACAAGAACCAAACTAATATTCATTCAAAACTTAATGAATTATTCAAAACATAATGGATTTTTTTTATTAATAAAATCTCTTGTTACATTTTTATTTTGGAGCGAATTGATATTCTGAAGTGTGAGAGTTGATCTGTCTAATTTAAAAAATTATTCGAGTAATTAAGCAGGTAGAAGGATGTAATAGACATCTGACGGAGGTTAGCCATAAAATCGGCTGTTTTTCATGGATTCCTGCCAGACTACGTGACTAAATTTCATTATCCGATCTGATTCCTAGCTATCTCGACGCTCGTTAATAGTGAAGGTTCGGCACGTAATTACTGCAGTCCCTTTATTAAAAAAACGGATAACTGTCATTTTTAGCGATCGTCATCGAGTTCCTATCTTCCTTCATAGAATCATAACGATCATTTATGAAATACCGAAAATATAATTAACAGGATGAATAAAGCAGGAAACCATCAATTTAATGTAGTTGAATAGCTGAGAGAAAGAAAGTAAAGAACATTTTAAATAAAATTAATATTATGTTAATAACGTGCCATGCACTATGTACAGAGTATCATTCATTTTTTATGTAAAATATCAGCTCTAAATTAATATGACATAAGTGTTATTTCGTAACATATTATTAAATGATGAATAAATAATTTCTATCTAATAAAATATTAAAAGGACAGATTCCATTAATAAAATTCATCGAAAGCATCCATATATTTCATTCTGAAACGCTCTGCCAAGTGATGAGTATCGATTTTTATAGTTTCCCCGGGGAAAGAAATCGACATTCCATACACACTCTATTTTGCCGATGCATTTTCAACGATGTCCAAACCTAGGAAAACGAAATATGTGATCGATCGTGACAGCGTGTAAGGTTTATTCCTTCCTACCGAAAACCCATTCTCATTCTCTCGAACGGCTATCTCTTTATATTACTACCTTCCACTCTGAATTTCACCGCACGATCATCGCGATGGGCCACTTTTCTTCTTCTCCCAATCTTCTTGCTGGATTCCCGAATGTCTTTCAATGTGGCTCTTCCGATGGTGTTGTCGACGATCGGGAAAACGATCAAACTGAGAGATGGAGGTAGGAAACGTAAGAAAAAAAAGGGGTAAAGACGATAAAGAAGACCAGGGACGATGAATTAAGAAATGGAAGTGGAGTGTAAAGAGGAACGAGCTGTGTTACGATATGATCGTGAAGCTCTACATTAAAGAAAAAAAAGGGAAATGAGCGAAGCGTCGACACTTGTTCATAAAATTTTATTTACAATGAGCAGCTCTTAACCCTAGAACTTCTAAGCCTCAAACTATCATATAAATTTGGGGAGAAGGGCTCCGCGAATCCTTCTTTTTACTCTTTCAATTTCAGTTCCAATTTTGTCATTATTTCGCACTGAATCAACGTAAGTTTTAATTAAAAATAGTAAGAGACTATTTGCAATGATATCCTATCTTTTTAAATATCCTTTTTTAATATGTTCAAGTTTCAAGTCGGAATCGGTAATGATTTTTTTCAGAAAAGAAATCGGTTTAATTCGTCATTAAACTTTGAGTTCGACGAACCCCACCCTCCCTTCTCTTAGGAATTCAAGAGTTAATCAAAAGAAGCTTCCATTGCCCCCAGGTGTACATTTGAAATCGTCCAAGTACAAACATAGTTCGTTCCCTGAGGATTCTTCGCAAGCAAAGCCAATTGGTAGGAACGATGGAACAGCAGACATATCGGGCAACCGCAATATACATACATGTATTCGAGGCGATTCCATTTCGTCGTTAGAGGCGTACTAATTTATGCGCGGTAAATCGGTCAGGCTTCGGTACGACGAAACCGTGCACGATATAAGTTACGTGCATGTAAAGTATCTGTTATGTAAATTATACTAGCAAATGTCTAAGGTCCACGCGTGCGATATCTCTGTCTTCTTCATCGTGTCGTTGAAAATTATAGGCTGTTACGTAGATTCGAACGGTCTTGACGTTTCTGCAGAGACCGCTACCAGGCCGCCGCCACCAAAGCCTGGAAGATTTGTTGAGGGTGATGGCATGTCCTCGTTGGTCGACCTTCGACAGAGACAAGTTCGGTCCCCGGCACCTCGTCCAGGGTCGAGTCCCCGTTCATAAATCGTGGAACTTTAAAGCCAGATTTACACAACCCACACGATACACGAAGCGATACCAATTGTGTTCTGAATAAGTGATGCCACAGCCAACGACTCCCTTGCAATTTCTATTTAACACACGTTGCGACGCGATGGTCGAGGGCCATGTGTTAAAATCAGAGTTTTTCAGCTTCATCTTATATTTACTATGATACTTGTCGAGATTGCTGGGCGTAAATCATGTTTCATTGCAGTTAACTTTATTAAGACCTCCATCTTGAAGAAGTTGTTTTAATTAGAAGGATATTTTCTGCACGTTCCTAAAATTTCATACATTTTTTAATATTATCAAAAGCAACTTCCTTCTATAATATAAATTAATTTTGTAAAGATTTCATATTTTAGGGAAAAGTATCCCTTTTGGACCTACTTTTGGATCAATGGATCAGAAATCAATTCTGAAAGCAAAAATTATAATTGATCAGCTATTTGCTGGTAATAGTTCTTCATATTTGATATACTTGCATGATTTCTATGTTAGTCAGGCGAAAGTTGGAGTATCCGTCTCTTGTTCAACTTCCTCTGGCCTCCTCTGCCGGAATCGGGAGTAAGTGGATATACGTACAAAGTGCACGGTGCATAAGGTCTTCTATTTCAAGTGATCTCGAAGATCTTCGACCTAGTAGTACTTTTACGAGCGCTCTGACCCGGACTTTATCGTTTGAACGTAAACCTTGTTCCATCAGTGCGAACAAAGAACACGTATTCAGTATGCTGTCAGCCAAAATCTTGTTAACACTTGCTACATCCAATTAATTGCTACACGGTTTTCCTTTCAACCTAATTTCAAACATAAATGAATATTATAATGAGCTATCAGTGTTATCTTTAGCAGAATTTATGGGAGTCATCCCGAACAAATATTAGGTATACAAATTTTCTGCCTCTTCTTTTTATTTTACTTCGAGATTTGTTTTTGAAAAGTCATCATAATTCCAATTCGTAATGCTATAGACACCTAATTAATTTATACACTTAATATTTTTCAAATTTTTCTTTTAAAATAAATTATTCTTTTGAAGAAATCTTTTTTCCAAATATTATTTAATACTATGAATTCTTTATTTTGTAATATTAAAGTAATTTAATATTATAAATTTAAAGTTTTTTAGTTAAAATGAAGTTTATGTTAGGGTTTAAGATAATTTGGTATTTATTAAGATAATAAGTATAAAGCCTTTTTTTTCAATTTAAAGTTTGTACCAGAGTTTAGAGTAATTTGGTAATACAATATGAATGCAGAGTTTATTTTGGATGAACCTAAAATTCCATTTCTCGAGCTCAGAAACACAGCACACCGCAAGGTACATTTACACCCCACAAGTGGACACCTGTGTTACCACGCGTCTTCCTACTTGCAGCCGCAAAGTGTGGTAAATTTACGATCATCCTACTGAAAGCTCTATTTTGTTCGGGCAAACTAATCTGTGAAATCTATATGTCCCTGTACTTCTAGTTTCTATTATGAATTGTTCATTTTTTCTTTAAAACGATGTATCACTTTTTAAGAAAGTATGTTCACTTTCTGTTATACTCTTCATTTCGGAAATAAGAAAATGTAGTTGATTAAATTTGAGAAAAAATTTATAATGATTAACATATGGAAAGTAATTTTCATAATTGAGTAATTTATGTGAAATTTTTAAAAAATTCTAATTTTGATGCTAGTATTAATTAATTAATTTATGAAATAGTACATCCTTAATACTTGCGATGCTGATTTATATTTGTTATTTAATATTAATTTAATTAGTAATAATCATAACGTGAAAGCTGATCTTAGATCATATAGTTCTGTGGGGAGTAGCAATAAAATTTGTGATGTTACGAGCTCGTATCACGCCTACCGGAAAATTGAAATTTCAGTAGAGGGAAAGAATAACTTTTGGAAAATTGCATCGTAAATAGCTGTGATATAATTTAGATTTTACGAAAACAACCATTTCGATGACCTATTTTATATTATATAGCTGATATCAATATTTTTATAATTCCCATTTTTTAAATTGTATTTAGAATTATTTATACGAGCGATTCTCAACCAAATTCATTGTTTGTTTGTTTCAGATACCTTCAACACTGAAAATCAATTCGAAGACACGTTAACTAAAATCATTACACATACTCATTATGATAACTTTGAGAATCCCACCGCATCGTCTCAAATCGTAACAAATTCGAGGGAAACAGTGTACAGTGCACAAAGGAAGCATCGAATATTTCCATTCAAATTAATACAAGTGCGTTTAATCCACTAATACTTAAATTTTGGATACCTGGCCGGCGAAAATAATATCCTGAAGATTAATTTAAATATTTTATCTTTGAAGAGGGAAACAACGTGGTTGTACGTGAAAAAAGGTAAGCATCTGACCAAATTAAAAAAATTTCATTTTCCAGTGCATCCTATTTTTGGGGGACACGTTTTTTCTCACAGATAATGAAAATTAAAAGTTGCACAACCTGTTAAAAAATTATTCTTTTCTTTTTTTCTGTTGTAATAATTTATTTTTTCTACATTTACTTCATATTCAATTTTCAATCACTTTTTATTGAATGGACACATTTTTTAAATTTTTTAATTATTGTAAATAGTTTTAGCTTTTCCAGAAGTAAATATTATACTATTGAGTAGAATGGTATAGATATTATTTATTATTCTTTATATTAAGATCATACCGTACAACGATAAATTAATTGGAATGAAATGTATTCAGTGGAAACAAAAGTTCAGTAGAAAAGACTGTTTTTAATCAGACCAGTAGAAACTCCATTTGCTTAGCGAATTCTTCAGGCGTAAAACAGATACGTGTGAAAATCCCATTTTAAATCACAATTCCCATAAATTCTCATCAGTTCGTCATAAATTCTGGTAAGGTGTACCAAAGCAGAACATAACGGATAATTTACGTTATTAACATATTAACGATCACAATGAAAATAGACTGCAATAAAGCACATTAAAAAAGAAATAATTGAAAACGCGTTATAATTTGTTAGGTAATTGAATGTTCATTCATTTAATCACTTATGAAAATTTGAAATTTTTAGTGTGGATAATTTCAAAATAAACTTCTTTTTTCAAATATTGAATCCTTCGCTTGAAATTTGATTGTATTAACAATAAGACGAAGAAGAAATAAAATTGATTGCAGGGCTCGAAGAAGCCTGCGACTACGGCGTGAGGAGTTCGCGGGGCCCTCCTCAGAAAGAAGGGGCTCCGCACGAGAAGGGGCACGTAAACGTACCCCTGGACCCGTCGTGGTGTTGTCCGCCGGGGGTGGCGGTGGCGGCGGGGGTGGAGGTGGGTGCAGACGACGTGATTTGGAACGACGCGGGGCAGGAGGTCGAGGGGCTCCCTGCCTTGCCACCATCAGCTCCTCTGTTGCGGGGAGCGCTGGGGGTTGTGGCCCTGTGGTGGGGCTCCCCTCCTATAAAAAACGTCAAGGTATCTTCTTCATTCCCAGAAAAGAAATTAAATGTTGTTCTCATGAATTTTTATTCGAATAATAATCTACAAAACTCATTTAACATTTAAAAAGTTATCCGAATGATAAGATTTAATAAATAATTATATGTTAAATGTTTGATTTGAAAATATAGTAAGTTTGATGATCAAATATTTTAAAATAATGCTTATCGTATATCGAATAAAATCTTAAGGTTCAATAAAAATGACAGTGTACATGTTTCAGCAACAGTTTTAATACAAAATGGCTGGTTGTCATTTATATCAAAGAATAACCATTTTAAAAATACAGAAATTCTGATAAATTGATAACAGAAAAGTATGACAAATATTATTCTATTCAATTAAAATATTTTTCATTTAGTGGCATTTGCTCAATCCATTTTTTTTTCAGTGAATAGTAAACTATAAGAAATAAATTGACTATCCTACCTAGACGTAGATTATTATTCTAATAAAAATATTACTCCATGTTTATAAACATAAAATTTCATTCTCATACAGCAATTCATTCAAGCTCATTTTCAATATTATTCGAATCAGCAATAACATTTCTCATGCGAAAAAGGATAATCGTGACGAATAATACTTTTTAAAAATCATGTAAGAATATACCTTTTACGTACTTTAATTAAAGGTAGTCGCATAGATCCCTGATGTTTAGTTATAATTTTATAATTACAACGAGAACATTGGATTCGTCTCTAGTATATCGAACTGCCAAAATATTTTAGAATAAAAAAATACATTTTTATCAAAGAACCGATTGTGATTTTTCTTTGTTTGGATAAATAATTTTTCTATATTTTTCTTTTAATATTTCGAGGAAAGGTAATGTAAGTGTAGACTAGGCTTTAAGCGTGATGCTCAACATCATTATTAAAGCGTAATCGTGTTAAGTGAAGCAGGTAGTAGATAAGGAACGGCAAGCCATGCCTAGTTAACTGTTCTGAATCTTATCTACCATGTCACGGTGAACATATCGGACATGTCCCCCCTGGTAGAGGCTTAGAACCTTATTCAATCTTTCAGTAAATTTGACATATTATGGTCAGTTTTGCTGCAAAATCCTGTATCATAACTCACTTATTGCTTAAATTATTATTTATGAAATATATAACTCACTTTTTACTTAAATTATTCATTAAACAGTTTAATTTAGTTTTGAAATAATATATGCTTTCAATTTAGAAATGAATAGATTCCTGGTTATATCCAACTTTGACAAGATGGTAAGGAGATTCATTGCAATGGCAAAGTGCAAAGTGTAATTACAGTAAATTATATCACGTAATGGCTTTTGTTGGTCCCGGTCCGGGACTCGCCTGGGCCTCTCACTGTTCTCTGGAAGACACTATCACTAAAATTTCTCTGTATAAATCGTAGTTGACGCGAAAGCGAATTATCTCCCTATGCATTATATCAAGTGTTGTGAAAGTGCACACAGAAGCTCAGGCTCTCCGCCGGATCAGTTCAGATCGGTTCAGACATGAGACGACCGACATTCTCGAAAAGAGTACGCGCATCCACACCTCACACTCGTACATATCTTATTTTGAATATACTTTTTTTTCGAGTTTTTTTGGCCGCAAGGTCTTTTTTACCTCGGGGTTTACCCCCGAACATTGTATTTTATTTATTCTAATACTTTCCTTTTTCTCATGCCCACATTTATTGAATATCGGAATTCGGGCGCGAAAGCTCGAGTTTCGACGCTTTATTATAATAATAATCACCATATTCAGTGATTCATGGGGCTGTCGGGTCAGATAGCTAAAGCCTAAGCATCTTATTCCGTGTCAGTGCCTATCTAGGTTGCTGCGATCATTCTGCTCGCCCATATCTAACATTAATAGTGCACACAGCTGATTGCAATTAGGATATATACTGGATCAAAGACGGAAACTGTACATTGAATAACATTACTTGGGTCAAAATGAAACAAGGCTTGATTCGATTGAGCGGTCCAATGCAATATTCAGACAAGTTCTTTTGAATATAATTCTTGTTATTAATAAAAATGTAAACAAATTTTAATGGATACACCAAGCAGATAGATTTTTAATTACGCTTAGATTTAAAATGGATAGTTAGGATGGATAGTTTTATTAATTAAATTTCCTAGACAAAATTTTCCTTTCACTTGAATACTTCAGTTAATTAAAATATTAATTGCTTAATACCCAACGCTGATCTGTTATCATCTCGTTTCGAAGTCAGCCATTGTTGGATCGTTTAATTTCTGGAACATAATTACACCTTTATTTAATGTAGGAATTAGTCTGACCCGTTACTATCATTTAGCCGCATAATTCGTTCCCCTAACTACCGTCCCTAATTATTCAAAGTTTATTACAAACCAGTCGCGAGTATAGGCAGAAGCGTTTATTATGTTTATTACATGTTTCCGTGAATAGCGCAAGGGAATACGAACACCATTATAGATTAATTAGAATTTTGCAATGTATCGTTCAAATATATATAAATCGCAATAAATCTCGTAAGGGAAATAACAAAGCTTCACTACTGGAAGTAATTTGTTCATTTCAAATAAAAGATGTTACAGCTTTTTCTAGAGAAGTACCTAAGGATCTTTAAAGGCTTATTTTTAGTAAAATAGTATTTAGTCTCCCTTTGATTTTTTTTCGAGCAAAGTTTAGACGGTTCTTTTTAAAAAAATCAATGTTACAGTCCTTGATAGGGATCAAGGGGGTAGGAATTGTTCGGTTCGGGTTGAGTTTTCTCGCATATCACTAACAACCAAGTGCATTAACCATTATATTTAAAATTGAACGAATTTTCTTTTTATCTATCCACTGCAATGCATTCCGATTAACCTTCGGACGGCGGACCATGGAGAGAGCGAGGATTTTAATTTAATTTTGTATTTTATATTATTTTCATTTTCTAAATTTGACACTGTTCCTTTAAAAATTAAACATTTAATTTTTATGTTCATGTCCTTGTATACGTTTTGTAAGTTTGGGATACGATTAACCCAGGCCAATCGCTATTCAAGGATTAATACTTAAAACAATACAATAAAATGAAAAAAATATATATATAAAGTTCAATATTTCATAATACCACTCTGATTGATATGAAACCATGGATCGCTGGCATGATTCGATAACGAAATTCCGTTTAATTGAACCCTTTTTCCTGGCGATGAATAATTGACCGGTTAAATTCATGATATTCTGAAATTGAAACTAAGCCGACGACGCTTAACAGGTTTCCCATGTTCTCGTTAAAAATTCATTTATTTTTGTGCGACACCAATCGAACGAGATTTTCATTCGTGATTTACCCAAAAACACCAACATCCTGGCCCAAGGATGCTCGGTTTTAACTCGATGCGGTCTAATCTTTCGGGTTGTCCTGACCTACCTAACTGTGTACGTGTGTATCTGGAACAGAGGTTTTGATGGAAGTTACATCAGTATCTCGGAACTATAATATGCTTTCCAGACTTCCTTCCCTCAAACTATCTTTGCCGGCCGTTGTTGCGTGTAAACCGGCAAGCGTAAATGCTGCTACTCCAACACGAGTTAGACGTGATAAATTGAGGAAAATAAGCCAACTGACGAAGGTTAAGAATACTACTTGGTAACCAGGTTAATAATATGCTAATCCTTAACTTTGTAACAGGAACACAAATTATACTATTTGTTTAACAATCAAAATGAACGACTTGTATTTTGTCAGGTGTAAAGGTAGAAGAAGGGTTTATCCTTTGTTTAATCATTAACCCTCAGAGGATGTACTGCTGAGATAGCAACAATTTTCATTCGATTCTTCTTTCTAAGCTTTAAATTATTTCCTTAGATACACACGATTCAGTCATCATTAGAGCAATATCAATACTAAATATTAACATTAATTAAAATATTCGAATCATCAAGCTTTTGAGTAAATCACGAAAACTGAACCTTCACCATTTCCATACACCATGCATCAGATCCATGCAGAACCTTCAATTCGTTGAACTCTCGTAGCATTTAAACATAAAGCCCAAAGCTAGAGTTACCTTAGTATAGTAAATGAATTAATTATTTCTACCATAACTTGCAATATTAATTTAGGTATATTTAGAAAAGCAGACTAACCAATAGCTGATGCAAGTAATTATACTAATGTAAATCAAGCTTATGTTAAATTAATAGAGTAAGTGGTAGAGTATATTAGAGCTAATAAGAAATGACTAAATAAATGGTTAGTAAAACACTAAAGTTATTCCTTTTAATAGAATAGAGAAGGGTAGTACGATGGTGCAGTAAGTTTACCACTATTAGCGTTAATATACTCTACCAATATAATCTGGACTTAATTCGGCATAAAAAAATCTCGAAGGTAGCGGTACCACCTGGGGTCGAGGTAGCCGTGGACGTGGCAGGGATCGCGGGGGCGGCGCGAATCTCATCGGTTCAGGCGTCGCCCCCGCGAATTACTCTTCAGCATTGCAAGGCGTAGCGCCTGAACTACGGGAAGTTGTGAATATCCTTGGTGAAAGGAATCAAGTTGGCACACTAACGGGCGTGGGACCACCACCGGAAGCTTTGGACAACGACAGCCAGGGTGACGAGGAAGAAGGTACCACCATCAAAAGGCCGCCCAGACCACTCTACAGGAGGCTGATCAATTACATCCGACAGGCTTGGACCGGCGTCAAATTCGCTCTAGGTACTGTGCTTATTTTCTATAACAACTCGATACTTTAAGCATTAAATTTACATAGTTGTTTTTTTAAATTTGAGTATTTTCCGGTGCTTCTGTGAATTTAAAAATTGGCGAAAATATGATGAGTTACTATAACTTTTTAAAAATAAATCTTTGATTTAAAAAAAGGCACCAAATTAATTTGTGCACTTAATATTTTAATTAAGGACGTATGAGGATTCCAGAATGTTGAGTCTGAATTAGGATTTTTTAATTTCTATATTTTTATAATCAATTACATGTGGTAACCAAAGAGTTAAAGAACAAAGTTGTGCAAATTGTTATTACAGTATATTTTATCGAGTGAGATAGTGATTATTGCGTGACTGTCTAAAAATATTAAACTAATATTGTGTTGATATAGATCTCGGTGTAATGAAAAATAAATATACATATATATTGTATGAATTTATATGTAGTATGAAGATGCGAATACTTGAAGTACAGAATATCTTTGAGGTTTAGATCCTAGGGATTTTCAAAGTTTGGATTTTTGTGGTTAATGTTAGCCAAAGTTTCCAGATATTAGGTAGGTTCACTCAGGGAAAGTTTCTAATGTTTCGATAGGATTATGGTTAACTTAATCAAGAATCTTGATACGCTCATCAATATACGTTCTAATTATCTTGTATTCAATATACTTCCATTGGTATATTATATAAAAAATTATACTAAACATTTCAGTCTCTTTTAAAACTTGTTACTTTGAAGATGAAATATTCTAATGTTTGGCACGTTTTATCAAATTAATATCCAACAAGCTGATGATAAATACAAGTAGTACAGGAATTAACTGAAAACAGTTAAACGGTAGTTTGTATCATTACGTTTAAAATATAATAACCGAAAGTTGTAGAAATTCCATTAGAACTATGATCGAGTTCAGTTTCCTATGAAATTATTTAGACATGAATGAGTTCGAAATAGTAGTAGGAAACTATATCGCAAGTGGAATATTGCGCCAATGCATATCTAAATTGCGTTGAAAACACGGTAGACAACATCGAACTCAGAAATCGAGGGAACTATATTCGAGAACGCAAATATGTTCGTGTCAATTTATCGTGCACTTCACCATACGCTTGAATTGCATCCCATGAAAAGGCTGAAACACATTTTCTTGAAACGTGTGAGTCTCCTGAGCTCTGTTGCAACGGGGTCTTCGAAGTTCCTCACGTGCTTTACCCAAGCCATCTATGTTGCATGATTCCAGCATGCTTTCTCCAGGATACGTGCACGTTAGCCACTCCTTCACGTATCCTTAGCTTTATTGTGCTCGAGTTACCTTCGATCGACCTTTTTTCGATGCCTCACGGACCGACCATCATTGCCGTTTTTTCTAATCTTATCTATTATTTTTCTTATGTATAATTCCTAGTATTTCTAAGTAGATAAAAGAGTTCCTTATATTTTTACGGAAATTCAAGCATCATTCGCATGCAAGCAACATAAATGTCAAAATACTAAGAATATAAAGGAATTTTATGAACGATGAATTACGAGATAAAGAGAAATGATAAAAATCTCCCCTTCTTCTATCAAATGAGAACTTGGAAGCTTGACAAATTTTCTGCTTCTACAAACGCGTCTACAGCAATATAACGAGAGTCTACCGTAGTTAATGTTCAAGATGTTCTTAATAATTTCTTATTCATGACTAACGAAAAGATGTTTTCGCGTTGAATTTTCAGACTCTGAATACGAAGAGGAACAGACGCCACGATACAGACCTGACTCTTTGGCGAGTCTTTGTCGGGCAACAAGATTCACCGAGGCAGAGCTGAAGAGAATATATCGTGGCTTCAAGGCAGAATGTCCCACGGGAGTCGTCAGGGAGGAAACTTTCAAGTGCATCTACTCACAGTTCTTTCCGCAAGGAGGTAAGCACGTTATGCTATAATATCTGAAAAGTGTTACTACCGTTTTAAATTAACGATGAACGCGCCTGAAACCCGTGGGAAAGCGAACAGCATCTTGATCCGTTTAATTAAACTCACCCTATTCAATCTGTCTCTTTAAACTCTCTCAAGCTTTCGAGAATTTTTTTTTTTAACACTTACATCCACACGTTTTACAAAATCATATGTTTAAAAAGTACTACAAATAGGATTATTTATTGTTCACAACATTGTAGGATATTTACTTTCACTGATAAATGTCACTGATAATATTAATTAACACATTGACCAATTAAAAGTTAATAATTAAACAATGCTATATTTTTAAATCTTTTTTTTTTATATCGAAACTTAACTATCTGTTATCAGTTTGGTAGAATATATTTCTATCATAGCATACCATGAACTAGAAATCAGTGTGAATTCATCTTTTTCAGTAAAATGTATTGTTCTGCTGCAATAAATAATATAGATGTGCAAGATCGCGAGTTAAGCACTTTTGTAACTATTTTCATTGCGTATTTTCACTGTGTTTGCTAGAGAAACGAGGGTAGATACGAATTTAAATTTCAAATGCTGCAATTCTGCGAATAATTGCCTGTTATAAGCCTGTTAAGCAACAGTTTGTATACCAAAATACCTTTTACACTTTTCCGTGTTCTCGTTTATGAAATTTTATATATGCATCATGACGTTGGCGATACAATATTGTAACATCGATTAATCAATGATTAATCAATTCGTCTTTATTTTGTCCAATAACTATTTATTAAGATTCAATCGCCCAGATACTCCTTACATTATTTTCGTTTCAAACACCACTTACTCGTTGGCATAAATTAGCCCTTCTTGTAAGGTGGTCCAAGTCCCATAGAAATTTACAGATTTTGAAGATTTGTAGTTTTGTAATTTTTAGGATCTGAAATTTTGGAATTCTGGAATTTGTATGTTTTAAAATTTTAGAATGTCAGAATTTTGTAATTTTTTAATTCTGGAATTTTGGAATTCAAGAATTCTGAAATCTTTTGAATATTCCAAATGTGTTAGTTCTGACATATGCAATTTCTGAAAGAATAGTACGGCAAGGGGTTAATAACAGTCTTCAATGGTAACCGGTGTTTAGTAAAAGATCTGTTGTTTAGTTCGAAGTTTCTAGTCTGAAAACCACAGGAATGCTATTTCTTTCTGTTTGTTCACAATTTAAATTCCCTCGGTTTTACAGTAACCCTGAGTTTACCCGAAAAGCATAAACAATAGAAGTGATATAGAGGTAGCAATGGAAGAAAAATACAAAGGGAAGAGGGAGTACGATCGAATAGAGCAAATAGCCCCATGGTATTTCGATGAATACAGATATGTAGTTACCACAGAACAAATTCTCGCATCAAAGTCCTCTCTTTCAGTATTCATCCATTCGTATAAACGATATACATAGATATCCGCCACTGTACGGTTTTGTATCTGTTTATGTACTTTTTCAAAGTTCTCGTGTGACTTGCAAAATAGTCGCTTCAAAGTCAATTGTTGTGCACTTGCTGAAACGCTAAACTTCGCGCATTATCTCCAACTTTTTACCTCCCGCAATGGAATTAATTCGGGAATTTTAACTGCACTTGACTATTCTATGAAAACTTAGACTTTGAATATTCTAAATATTACCATTCGTCTTTCGTTCATCTACAACGCAGTAGCGCAACTATGAGAGATTAAAAGACATTGGCGTAACTGGGTAGGAGCTAAAGTGGCCTGCTTCCACTTCATTTTAAGATCCTAAGGTCTTAAGGTTATAACATTTCAAAATTCTAAAGTTTAAAAATTCTAAAGTTCCAAGGCTCCATAATATTGAGAATCTGAAATTTGAATATTCCAAAATTTTAAAGTTCTAAGACTTATAAACTTCAAAAATTTCAAAATTTCGAAATCCCATAATTTTGAGATTCTAATTTTCTAATATTCTAAAATTCTAACACTTTACACTGCTAGGTTGTAATAGTAAATTTTTAATGGAATTATATTGAAGAATTGCAATTCAGATATGTTGCAAAGTTATTATTTTGTAAATTGTATTTAGTATCTAATCTTTTTACATCTTCAACCAACGAGCTAAAAAATTGAACTAATTTGTATACAAGACGTCTTTCGATTGTCTGACAGTTACGATAGGTTTTACGGCTGCCACAAATCGTACCGATATCGTGATCTGTTTACTATTCTGCATAAGAAAAGGGGCGAGAATTTACGATCTGTTATCCCAAAATCTTTAAAAAGAGAATTGGAAAAATAGGAAAAAATCCCAGAAATATTTCTTCTTATTAAGATTTAACTCCTTGACACTGTGTAGCAATAAAAATATTTTATTTTATTATTCTAGAATTTCTACTTCAATTATATTACAAATTTAGCCACATCAATATTATATATAAAATTGAAGAAGATTGGATTATTTTATATAATAAATTAATTAATGCATTAGATGTTCAAATTAATTTCTTTTTTAATCGAAGATGTATTGTTAAGAAGTCATGGTAATTCTAATTATTGAAGTAATACACTATTGTTTCATATTAAACGTAAAACACATAATTTTGCTAATAATTTATAATTTATTGCTAAGGAATGTATCAATAGGGAAAGCAATCTATAAAATAATTTTGTAAATTTCTGTCCAACATACCTTCACCCTAAAGCAAATTCTAATTAGGCATGTGACAAGCATCGACCGTATCGTCCACAATTTCCGCTGATTCCGACAGTTATCGTTTAACGAATAAAATTTACTATTCCATACGTACCCGTTTTACAGTTGCGTGTATAGCAGCTGTACTGTTTCACGGGTAACAGCTTAACCCCTAACATTTCCTACAATTTATTGACTCTAAGCTATTAGTTTCATTTACATTCACGGTACCACAATCAAACAGAGATCAAAATGGCTATAACATGTTCAGAGTGTTATCTCGATCCATGTACAGATAAAAGACCCAAATAAAAGATTTTATTTTTTTTTAAACAATATAATTATTGACATGTTGCATTTGGCATAATTTCATGACATAAAAATACTAAAAAACAGCACTTACACTATATAAATATCACAAAAATTTAAAAATCAAATTATAGATAGATATCATATCTATTTTATTTTAATTGAATTTCATAGAACATCCTGTTACTGAGATTTTTACAAATTTATCCATGTTTCAACTTGTTTCATGAATTATTGCAACATCCAAAGTACCATGTATTAGCATAAATATCGTCATTAAATTTCATTTCATTAAATGGGATTGTTCTCTTTGTGATTTAACCAGTTATTTACATATAAGCCCTGTCATAATCATTATAACGCCTCTGTAGCAATTTGCTTATCAATAGAACCCTTTTGAATAAAAATAATGCCTCGGCTTTATTATTGAATTTATCGAGATAGATTTGTAAATTTTCGAAAAGAAAATTCATGAAAGCAAGTAGAATTGTTTTACACAGAAAACCGATTGTTATTTATCTGATCAAATTAAACAATAATGCTACAGTTAAATGATTCTCATTAAAGAGTAGGAATAATTGTATTTTTAATCAAAATCGTTATAAAGGTAAAATGTATGCCAAGTATTTCTTGATGAATGAATATATTTGAATCTGCTCAATCTTCAACAGAGTATGAATATTAAATTTGCAGAAACGTGGCAAAGTAATATACCATTTCTAAAAATATATTTTCAAAATCAGAAATGTATTTAATATTTTCTACCAAGGAGACATCGTGTTATCTCTGTCAAATAGTGATTTACATTTGCCTTTTCAACATTTCAATATTAATGAGAAGTTATTCCAATAGGTGGAATATTTAAAATAAACCTTTTAATTATTTTAAAAAGCAGAAATTTGTCCGTCAATTAATTTTCGTGGAAATATCGTGATATTCATAAATGGTCGTATATTCATAGCGTCAAAAGCATCAACGGCAAATAACTACCTTTCTTATCAAAGAGAAACATGTTTCTACTTATCTAAAACCCCTGGAGCGGCTGGAGAAAGTAAACGAAACTTCTACATACAATTCAGTTCAACCCCCATAGAACGAAATGAAATTTATATCTTTGAAACCGACTAGGGGAGCGTATCTATAGGGAACGAACCTTCCGAAATTTGAATCGTTATAATCGAAGGTCGCAGAAGTGAATTACGACAATGCGAGAACATCCATTCTTTGCGAAGAACACTGTTACATTGTTTGACGTAAAATAACAATGTGTTAGAAAATATTGAATAGGGTACCCATATGTTTAGTTTGATAGTTGCAGTTAGGAACCCTTTAAAGTACAGTAACTTTTTTAGAAAATTTTTATTAGCATTTAAAGAAAACAAATTTCTGTAATAAATCCCATATTCTTTTTAACTTTTAATCATCTTTAACACACTTTGCAAACGTTATTTATTATATAAAAAGTGAAAAGTTAGGATAAATAAAAAAACCTTGATGTGGGTAACATGAAACTCTTGACATTTCTACATTTTTTTACGATGAGATGGAATATGGAGTCCTGAATGGTAGAACATAATTTACAACTCTATTTCTATGCAGTGAAACGTAATAGTGTTTGCGAAGAGTTATAATATGGTTCCTCGAATCTTTTCCATGGTAAACAGGAAACTTACTCAAAGTTGTAAGAAAATACGAGATCAGAAAAGGATATAAGTGAAAGAAAATCATTGTTAGTATTCAATAGACGTACATTTTCATTCTTCAGGAGAAGAGTACATTGAGCGGATCCTAGTCCTTGAAGAACGAAAAATACTGAGTTTGTTCTCTAAACTTTAGCTGTTTTGAGAAAATATTTAACGTCTCGGTGATGTCATTCTTTCACGTCGAATGGGTCGTGAGTACCTTAGAAATGTATTGACGAACCTTGCTTTCTTGAAATCATTTTATTTTATAAAACCAAGTACCCTGTTAGATTATATTGCTAAGAAAAACTACTAAAGGTAGCTTCTAAGCCTTTCATTTATTATGTCAAAAATTCTAAAGTTCGGAATGCAATATAATTTTGTAAACTTTGGACCTAATTACTATTACATGAGTAAGTCATTTTAAGTAAATTATTAGATTAAACTATGTACCTTTCGAAGTTCCTCCTTCGATATTATTAATATGTAGATTATTATTTTTCTTTGCAATTAAATGTTATTTAATTTTATTTGGAATAAATTCGAATTTTTAAGCCGGGTTTAATAACCCAGAGAGCCCCGTACCCTAGAAATCTTGATCTGCTCCTGTATTTACTTGTCAGAAAAAAATTGTGTAAAATAGCTTAATTTTATTTCATAAAATTGTGAATGGATTCAGAAACCCATTATAAAAGAGAAGAATATTGAATCTCGGATCGTGTACAATGGAGAGAGTTCGCAAACTTTGTTCTTCAAATACCGGATATTTTACTTTTTGCAACTATGATCGTTTCCTCTTGAACTCTTCGTTTGTTTTAATTTTGAAACACCTTGCATAAATAAAAGCTTTCAAGTTTGAAATTCTCCAATGCTTTAGACCCGACTCCTTTCAAACTTCACAAAGTAAACGAAAATTTTCAAAAGAAGTTGAGATATAGTATGTATACTTTTGGACTCGAAAAATTCAATCTCAAAACACTCTTTCACCGCGAAGATATCTCCTGTACACTTGGTTGCACTCGAATTCTTGTACCATAGAGAAATGTTTCAACAATCTTCTGGGAAAATGAAACCAAACAATGTTTATACTCCACGTACGCGTACAATGTTCCTTGAACATATTTTCATTTCATTCCATTTTTCAAAATTGAATTTTATTAAAACATATAAAATAAAATAATTAATTAATAGAAATAAATAAAATGTACATAAGAAAATTTTGAATTCCACTGAAATTACGCTGATAGCTTATGATAGTAAATCATGTTTTCATTTTGGGCGCTGACATATTAATCCAATATAAGTTGTTTCTTGTTATTTCTTTTTGTTTTTTAATAACAAAATAGAAGTAGATTGGTAAAATAGAAGTGCCGAGTTGTACGGGTTAATAACTAGAATATCTTGCGAAATCCACTTTCAATAATTGCTTCCAGTTTAATATCGTTTGTTGGTTCAGTCTCTCTCGCTCAGCATCGTACGTTTGATGTGCTCGAAATTCTTGTGTACATCCAATTTTGATCGTTTACGTTTCGAACGCTTAATAACAAACTGAGGTTGCTTTTGGGAAAGGAATATAAGCGCATCAGTTTATATTGAAGGAAAATATGAATTTATCTTCAAGAACTTTCAATCTAAAAAATTAGCAAAAAATTTGGTGTCTTTGAAATATTCTCTGTTTTTAAAATAATTAAAAATATATAAAATATCATATTGTAAAATAAGAATAAATATTTTTTTATAAAAATACAGGTAGTCTATGAAATTCATGCCGCGACATAGGTATAAATCTTATAAACAATCAACGGAAATAAATGGTACCGTAAATCTACAAATCTAAACTGTAAGGCCCTCATAAATAAAGGAGTAAAGAACGAGCTTTTCTAACAATTTCGTAGTATCCAGGTTGAACGAATCCGTGCAAATGAAAAGATCGTTACAGGGTAAATACATTTTCGTCTAAAAGAATTCAGAGAAACATTTACTTTATTAAAAGCAAGATCAAGACAGTAAAAACACTGTTAATAACGATAAGAGTCATTAAGTTTCAAATTTCCATATCTGTGAAGATGATTTCCATAATTATGTCCATAAACAAAATATAACTTCTCATAATATTTAATTATTCTTAGCCTCTATTTTATGACGTTATTATTAAGCAGCAGAAATGTAAGAATTATTAAGCCCTGTTTTATTCTAAATTTTCATTATATTTAGTTATATCTTCAAGTAATTAGCTTCAAATTTTAAAGATATTTAATTTTTATAATTAGTTTCCAAACTCTGTAATTTTTGATCCTTTAAATTTTTAGTATGACGAAGGTCACATTTTCGGGGAGGGCCCAAGTTAAGAGTATTATCCTTTGATTAACTTGATCAGAGAACGAGGTTACGTTTCGAAAACTAATTTCTGACTTTTGCCCTACAATCAAGTAACAACGGAAGCGTCGCCTTTCGGCGGAAGCTCGATCCATACAAGCCTGACAACTTTGACGAGTTAATCTACTTTGCCCCCTCTGTGCTGTTACGGAAGTCCCGCTGTGATAATTCGGAAGGAACGGGTACTAATTTCTAGACGAATCCTTTCAATTGAAGCAATACCTCGGAGATTTCTGCTCGAGCTGAGACAACGAGGATAGACATTTCTCAATCCTCGCTAAAACGTTATTCTCATAGTTCCGTAATTAAACGTCTTAGTCTAGGAGATTACTAAATTCTTGGTTTAACTACTTGATAATTCTCGTTAAATTTTAATGCGTGCTGCAACTTAAGCGCGAATGTTTATGCAAATGTGTATTTTATACATAAGAGGCCTAAAGAGGTATTTGTTTTATCACCAAACGGTTCTAAAACTACCTTTTATATTTTATACTAAAAAAAATGTTAAAACATTTTAATCAGGGAAGACAGAATTATCTTTTAACACTTGAACTACCGACGTTTGATGCACACTTATTTTTCAGTTGAAATATATATTTCTTTGGTTCGTTCAAAAAAAAAAATGGAGAAAAAGAAATTGAAATTGTATTCTTTAGATGTACGTGCCTTTCGTCTTAACTACAACTTATTTATAATATTGATTGACCTCGCTTGAGAAGATAACGACTGTTTCCTCGAGCTCATTGCGGAACACTTGCCGGAAAGGGGAATAAAGCAACATTTCCATGAAATAATTTCAAGTATAAATCTCAGCCTTTAAATCGAAAGCATTTCCGTTGGGCAAGCAGAAGTTAACACACATACACACACGTAGAGAGCAATACAACAGTGGAATTTCAGTTTATGGTATTCGACGGTCTCAAAAGAGGTTTCTCAGGAAGGCCATTGAATGTTTGCCATCTGGGAAATTGGAGTGCTTATTAAGGCCATCCCTCCATTTCCTACCAAATACGCCAAGTTATTCCGGACAAGTGTCTTTCTCCCTTTGTTTCTACAGAGAGAGAGACGCAAATTGATTTTGACGAGATAAAAATATTTGTTTACCAAATAAATTCCCGTTTCTTTTGTTTATTTTATTTCAACACTTTGATGGATACTTATAATCCATATAATTATAACTTGTAATTAATATAATTAAGATACATATAGAGGGTGTTAAGTTAAAGGAGTTCAATATTTTAAGGGTATATATGTAGTATTAAGGAAATGAATTTTATTAATTAACGCAGTATCTTTTGTTATTTTTCCAGCCAATACTAGTCAGTACGCCCATTACGTTTTCAACACCTTGGACCAGGATCATAGTGGTATTCTCAGTTTTGAGGTAAGCTTTCTTCAAAATGAGTTATACAAATTTATTTCATAATTAATACTTCCGAGTTGTACTATTCATTATTATGGAACACCTCGCTTATAAGAAAACTTTCAATAATTTTTAACTCGTAGATAATTATCATGACATAATTAGCATAGTGGTTTACTTAATTTTTTACCAAATTCCCCTTAAAAATGAACGAAATAAATTGATTGATTTTGGAACATCCCGTAGAGAAGGGAGGTTTTAGTTTCGTTCAGTAATTTCAACAAATCGTTAACTCTTCGGCGAATGCCGGAAAATAGAATCGTAAACCGGAAGCTGTAGGAGACACTTCCAGAGAGTGTGGTTAGTTCCTAGAAATTGTTCATCGGTGACAATAACGATTTTCCCGTTCGCATCGATTTAGATAAAAGGCTTCCCCAACGAACAACAGTTTTTCGTTTTCATTAGTTACTCAGCAACGGCTGTTCAAATTTAACGAAACTCTCCTACCCGAATTTCCTATCGGTGCTCCAACAAAATCAAACTTTGTTTTTGATATAGCCTTGAAACAGTCAACAGAAATCAATACTGTACACGATTTTAGAGGATTTTCTGTTCGGGTTTTATATACAACAAGTTTTAAACTATTCGGAACGTGAGCTGAAATGTTTTTTACCTTTCCTGTTATTTTACTCGTAACTGGATATATTTGATCAAGAGTAAGAAAGTAATTAGGTACTGCTATGTGATGCTCTTAAATACAATATAAGTTTGTTTTAAAACAAAGGCGTCATGTCAATTTTTTAATAAATGAAAATACAAAGAAATCAAAACACAAGGGTAACAAATTTTACTTCTTTCTATTCAAATATTGCGCGCACATAGGTATCTCTTGAAAGCTTATTTCTTGAAAGTTATTATGAATTAGTTACATTAGAAACATACCAGAATTTTTTTTAATACGAAAGGTATGATTTTAAGCATATTTTTAATTCCATTCAGAATTAATCTATGTTCAAAATTGAAATTAGTGATCATTTCGAGATTATCATACTATTTTGTGTCATCTGTTCATTTGGTCCCCTGCTGTGAATTGAAAAATTTATTTTATAAATAATTTAAATAACCTGTAATAACTTTCGCCATCAGTAAGTTATGAAATATCAAAGGATACGTTATTTTATTTTTCCTTATTTTAATGATAAACAAAAATTGTCAAGGTAGTCGTAGTAAAATAACTCTTCAAAATACTTGTTTTTATTTTATTTTATTTTTTTTTATGTGTTCATTTGATGTTCTTCTCCGTAAAGAGCTTAACGTTTGGTGTCTATATTTCCTGCTTTGAGTGCTTTCGATCCTCTACGCTCAATCGGAATTGTGCTCGACGTTGCATAGCTTCCAGTATAATCGCGAAAGCCTAAATCAACAATCGCTATTTATTCCGGCAAGCATCGCTGTTTGCGATTAGGTCCGATGTAAATGCATTCGTGTATTTGTAAACGAGGAATTCCTAGTTCGTCGTTATAATGCTTACTTACGCTACAGGCTTATTTGCTTCCACGTTTCTATCCACAGCTCCGTTCAAATAAAAAATTGTTTTCTTCTGGTAAATTTGTTCCTTCAACAAGTGTCAAAGAGAATATTAATATGTGAAACAGAAAAACAAAATAAATGTGACAATTAAATATTATAAATTATTTTTTAGAAATGGTATTACTGCAATTACTAGCATTAAATGAAGATTAAATAAAACATGACTATTTATTAAGTACTATTTGCTTAAACTAATATTAAAAATTAAATTACCTTAAAATTTATCAGCAAATAATAATTCCCTCTTTACAAAAATTATTGCTATTGATCAATCAATAATAATTACTGTATTGACAAACAATTATATAGGTAGTTACCTTTAAATTTTTCTAATACAAAATAATTCCTTCCTTAAGACAAGAACTAACATCTAAATTAATTATTATAAAACCGTAGAGAAGATAAAATAATTCAATAATAGCTTTAAAGTGAGAATAGACAATAGAAAATGATTGTATCAATGAAGTACGGTTTCGAAAATCAACACTGAAAGCGTACATGTGTACGTGAATTGCAGTAGAATTGCAGCTTTTCAACTTACTACGATAATGCGATTAAACACAAAGTCGATGGACTCCGTCTTGTTGTTCAAAGAGGACAAGTTCGTGCGAGAAGTTGAAGATGGAAAAGCTGTGTCACGAAAATCACTTGACAAAAACTATCGTACCATGAAAGAGAAACGGTAATCTTTCGACGTTTGCGAACATGAAGCTTTGTTCAGATTAGTCAAATTAAAAGTCAAATAAGAAATCATTCGCTTACTTTCTCTATGAATTTACTCTATGAATTTTTATCAAACTTTAAGCTTTAAATTGAGGAGTAATAAATGATATTTTACGATAATTTTATGTCATGAAATTGTATTATATTAAAAACTGTGGCCTCGTTGTCCACCGTTAATTACCAACTATTTTGCATTCAGAGTGTTAGTGAACGGCGCGTGTACGTAGTCATCTTTATTAAACATTAAGCTTCAAATTGATGACCCATAACTGCCTTTTTATGGTACTTTTATCTCATAAAATTGTATTACATTAGAAACCATCGCATTGGTATTCATTATTCCCTATAATTTATCATCGACCATTTTGTCTTGAGAACACGAACGAATGGTGCGTATATGCAATAACTTTTATCAAACCTTTAACTTTAAATCGATGTATCATAAATGCCATTTTGCGATACTTTTATGTTATGAAATGCAACAAAACTAGTCCACTAAAAGTCATTGCTTTAACGTTCATCATATATCACTAGCCATTTCGTATTCAAAACACAAATAAAAGATGTGCGTATATAAGTAGTTATTTTCATGAAACTTTAAGCTTTGAAATGGCGTATTATAGATATTATTTTATAAAACTTTTATGTCATCAAATATCATTAGATTTAGTATATGAGAAAACTTTTTAATCACCCCGCATCATCTTATGAGAGAACTTGATGTAAATATTGTTTTATTACAAACATATGGTCGGTTAGAGAGAATTCGATACAAGGGACTTAATTAATACGAGATTGGACGTCAAAGGCGAAGGCAGAGGAACTTTGTAGCTCACAAAAGAAGAGGGAAAAAAGAAAAGACGAGGAGAAACGTTCGTTGTGCAGAGAGCCATGGTAATGTGCGAGCTTCGGGCAACTCGAGGGCTAATTACACAAAGTACATTTTCAGCCTGAAGCCACGAGAGAGATAATTGAGTTAGTTCGTAATTATCCCCTGACGACTTCTCTACTTTTTCTTATCTGCTTGCTATTGGAAATAGTAAATAACACGGACGAGCCAGAATACCGGTATCGATCGGGCAAAATTAACCGCGAATTAACGCGACTGATTGGCACCCTCCCCTCCCTCTGATTGGAAAACTTAGTTGGATCTATGCTGCTCATTATTGCCGTCCTACCTGGCAATTAGCTTTAATCTCCGTCGAATATTTGTTTGAGGCACACTTGCCTATTGAATCGCGTGAAACCAGTTAATTGTACCGATGCGACAATCATTTGCATGATTAATATGAGGGTACGAATGAAATGTTTCGATGCTTCATGAATGTTTCATCCCACGATGGCATGTTAGTAGATATGCTGTTAAAAGGTTAAATACAAAATTGAATTATGTTCCTGATTAAAATTCTCATACATCTGGCTTTTTGATTTTTAAAATTATTGTTTTTTTTTTTAAATCAGACATTCCTAGGGAAAAAAGTGATATAGGAGAAATAAGAATTCTCAAAACACGATATTAATATTAAAAGTAATTTAGGAAAGAATGATATAACAAAGAAATATGAATGATAACTAAATATCAACACAGCACAAGGATTTCCAATCATAATTTGGAAACAACGACACCCAATTTTCCCATTTTCGTCAATGAAATATCCCATATTTGATCTTTGAATAGTTTTAGCTCCTTGAACCATAAAGCATGCCTCTCTATCGGTTGTGTTCGAATGAAAAACGATGCGATAATTCGATTTGCCATAATTGAAGCGTGCACTAATCCAATTTGTACCGTGAACGTGAACTCGGAAGTGCTATCAGCCTTGCAGTATAGGCGCTGCCCCTGTTATTATTAATTCTTTTTGCAATTTTCAATTACACCGTACGTTCGATCGAAGATGTCGAAACCATTATTGTTATCTTGAGGATACCGTGCGAGCAACAATGAATAAAGTATGAGTATAGAGTACAGAACAAGCAATTTATTCGTAAACGAATAAAGTTTCCTTTTTACGTGTTCGTTCATTCCGGGATATTGTTGGCGACTCATGAAAGCTCAATATATCACATTTTTTATTAATAATCAGAACTTCAATTAAAGCTTCTGTACGGTTGAAATACACTATTGAAAAACGAATAAGGAAAATGGAGTTACAGCAATGCTGAAAAAATTATCAAAGAAGCCCTTTAATTTTTTTTCTTGTTTTGCAATCTCATTACTCCTTGTTACTCTGTACTCTGGAAGTTTATTTTTCTTTGGTACTAATATTGTTGCAAAGTTGAGAAATAATTAATGAAACCACGAATACGTAAAAATATTAACAACCCGTTTTTTCTAAAATTTAAGTATTAATAAATAAATATAATAAGTTTACTCATTTATGTTAGCTTCAATTTACTTTGGTTACGAATCGTTGAGAATAAATACATTTACGACGTAGCTAAATAGTGACAGAGTAAGTACCATTCCGTCGTGATTATGCAAAGGAAATATAACAAGGTAGATGAATAGCGGAGGACGTGGAAAACTGTGTACATTTCAGTAAGTTAACAAAGCCTGAAATAAATCAGGAACGACGATACTTAATCTCACTTTCGTAGTCTGAAGTTTCGTGGTCCTTTCATTTTGCTTGTTGCGCTTGATTTTACACTTTCTGCCACACCTTGCTCATTGTATACGATGCTTTTACGTGCTTCTAATAAATCTTCATTTACGTCAACCAAATTACATATCGTGTACTGTATATAACACCGATATGCTGATTCGTAATTTCATCAAATATTCATTAAAAATAATATTGTAATTCTTTTCTTTGAAATTCTAACAAATTTTTCTTTCTTTCATTTATAATCAAGGATATACAAAGGTTTCCATAATTTATTAAGAAATTTTCTTCAACGCATTAATATAGCAATGGATATAATAAAACAAAACACATTATGTTAAAATCACGTCGCGATTTATATACGGATAATGAAAACTTCTGCACAGCGCTAATAATTTCATGGTGATACAATTTCAAGTGATACGGGTAATTTAGATAAGGGATATAATATTTCAGTGATAAGAATGAGATAAGTGCTTTAGATAGCAGCTTCGTAAGAAATCACCATTTAAATTACACGATAAAAATTGAGGCGATTTAAATCAGGAAGTTCAAAAGATACAAAAATTCAAAACGCGATAAAAATTGCATAATTAGTAATTAATTAAAATGATTAAAATTAAATTTCAAGCAATCAGTATTTGACCCTCGGATGACAGATCGTGAAGAGAGCCCCGATTTTAATTCAATTTTGTAATTCATAGTTTGTATAGTGCCTTATCATTTACATTCTAATTAAGCAATTAATTATTAAAGAAATTTTTTAAAAGTTCCTAACAAGCGTTTACAATATTTTTAAATCCTATATTTATTTTAATATTCAGCCTGCAAATTCCAATTTTTGATATTATTCGCGCAAAAGTTAAATTTCATCTCTTATATCCGAGCACGAATTTCTCGACATTATAAAATTTTCGACTAGTTTCCCTGTCTTTCTCTGTCGAGTACTTCGCTTTTCAGTTTTAACAAAAAAAAAATGTACTTTTCCTTTTCTCTACCTTGGTCGTTTTATCTTTCAAGCTCGTTGATGCCCCTTTAGCCTTTAACGTCACAAAATGCAATTTACCGTGCTAACGGACGTAGCTTTTTAATCCAAAAAAAGAAAAAAATGTTATTAACAACGCATACCCTGATCTGGTATTCTTTAAAACCGAGAAGAACTCGTTCTGGATCCCACTAACGATGGCAAGCTAGTCTCTTTAAAACGTTTTTAAAAGAGTTCCACTTCACATCCTCTATTGGTATGTACTTCATTAAAAACAGGAAAAAATTTTCTCTATTAAAAGATTTTAACATGCTGCAATAAAGGATCATAAAATTCTTTTTATACATTTATAAGAAAGATAAATACCAATTTGCAAGGTGATTCGTAAAATATTGTAATTGTAATTTAGATGTAATAAGAGCACTCTTGTTTACACTTTCCTATTTTAGGAGAATGTTATATTCATTGAATGATAAAATATTCTACTTAATTCATTTTTGAAGGTACCTGATAGAATTTTAAATATACATTATGTTATTTTGTGAGCAAAAATATACAATACAGTGTATGCAGAAAATTTAATATAATTGTAAATTTTTTCAAAAAGAAATGTTCAATATAAAGGACGATACATTTTCTATTATGTGTATAAATTAATGTGGCGCCTTTAGTATCACACCTTCTTAATTACTATTTCAAATTTGCATATTTTCTCGTGCTTATGTATATTTGAAAAGTGGTGCGAGAATATAACAATAACGATCCCTTGAATAATTATAATTACTATGACTTTTTCAAAATAAATCTTCAATTAAAAAAAGGAAAAAGCACAGAATTAATTTGTGTACCTAATACGTGAAGTTAATTTAAAAATATCATATTTTTCCTTAGAAAACTTAATAACTTCATCGACATAGTTTTTTTGCAGTATAATTGCAGATATCAATAAATATATTATTTCAAAAAAATAAATAAATGTGTCATTCTGACATTCTGTTGACATTCTGTTGTGTTTTGCAATAGATAAATTTGAATGACAGCAGTGGTTTATTACACTCAAAAACTCCTAAACTTGAAATTTGAAATTGGAAATTTCGCTGAAGGCGAATAAAGCGCTTCATCTGCCTCAAAATACAGTTATCTAGCACCTGTACTCGATTTTCATACGTTGGACTCTCTCAAATGGTACTATTGCATGCAATAGTGTTACTGCAATCGTTTCCTTCCGGCGTAAATTGAAATACGAATGAATGGTACAATGGAACGAAAGTTGCGAACAGGTCTCTTCCTTTTAGGACTATTCAAAGTTCTACCAGAATTTCCATAATAATTGCTGTATTGGAAATAGTTCGCAAGGTCCGATCGTTTCTTCAACGTGTACGAATCGAAACTGATCCAATATTTTCATATAACATAGAGTTCTTCCTATAGAAATTCTATTTTATTAGATTCATTCCATTTTGCATATTTCAGTCTATCCTATTCCATCGTTTTCCTTTTTTCGGTATTTATTTTCTTCTGATCACTCTTACATTTTTATTACAGCATTCAATATGGAAATGAGTTATTTGTATTAATTGCTTTTACTAAATTTTCACATAAATTTTCATATTTATTAAATAAATTACATACAGTGGCGGCTCTTGGAACCCCGTAAAATTCGAAACTTTCAAAATTTCAAACTTCTAAAATTAATTTTTTAAATCATGTTAAAAGAGCTAATTTTTTCTTAACAAACTGGAGACTGATAATAATCAGTGCGATACTAAAATCAATACAATTTATTCTATTTAAGAAAATGAATTTTTTGATTTTCCAGGACTTTGTGATTGGCCTCAGTATACTGTCGCGTGGTTCTATCGACGAGAAACTACGCTGGACGTTTTCCCTTTACGATATCAACGGCGACGGCTGTATCACGAGAGAAGAAATGACGGACATCGTGACAGCCGTATACGAGCTGATGGGGAAATTCGCTGATCCAAATCTGGATCACCAGGGCGTACGTGAGAAAGTAGATCGAATGTTCCAGGTATGAATTTTTTTATATTTCTACAGAAATGCATGACCAAGAAAAAGAACGGGGAAAAAATTAGGATTCATTTTCGAGACTTGAAAAATTATTATATTAAATTTTTTCAAATTTTCAATAATCTTTCATTTCGAATAATCATGAAATAAATGTTAAACTTTGAAATTCAATTGAATTGTTTGAGAACTTGGCATAGAAAGCGCTCATCACTAGATGTTAAATATAAATCATTGTACATAGTAAATCTATTTGGTATACATTACGAATTAGGCAATAACTGACCAACATTTATTTGAACTTGGCTGAAGGTTTATAAACACGTACGATTAGCTAATACCTATTATTACCAGGAAGTCTTTCAAATGTGTATGTCATAAAGTAATGCTATAGAAATTTTCAAAAAATAGATGCGGAAATCAAGTTCAAGCATTACTAACACTCTTAGAGGATAGTATAAATTAATCTTAATTTAACTTTGGGGGGTAGATTTGTCAACAAATCTGCGTTAGTTTGCTGTTTACTTTCGACGATACCAGTCTTCAAAATGAAGATTTAAAAGTGCTCAAAAGTTCACAAAAGAGTGGATGGAATGACAGTGTTCAGATACATAAAAAATGTGGGAAAAATTAAAAGACTCGAAAAGAGGGTGCCTCATAATTTAAATGAAAGTCAACAAAATCGAAGATTCGAAATTTGCAATTTATTGCTTCGTCGACATGCTAAAGAGCCTTTTTTGAACAGAATAATAACATGCGACGAAAAATGGATATTACGTGACAATAAAGAATTTTCGAAAGCAAATTTACATCCAGGAAAAGTTATGATGACAGTCTGGTGGTCCATGGCTGGTATCATTCATTATAATTTTTTACAACGAGGTGTGTCCATCACGTCAGAAACTTACTGTGATCAATTGGATATGGTGAATAAAAAATTAACAGAAAAAAAATGGACATTAATGGATAAGAAAGGTCCTATTTTATTACATGACAATGCACGTCCACACGTGGCACGTTTAACAATGGAAAAATTGAATCAATTAAAATACGAAGTTCTGCCTCATCCCCCTTATTCGCCGGATCTCTCTCCCACAGACTACCATTTCTTCCCGATTTTAGACAAATTTCTAAAGAATAAAAAAGCTCTGACTCGAGAGGCTATAATGAATGCATTCGAAGAATTTCTTAGATCTAGAACCCCAGAATTTTATTTTAATGGGATAGAAAATCTCATTAATCGCTGGCAGAAATGCCTCGATTCGAATGGAGGATATTTTTATTAATGCAATTTAACTTTGCTTAACAGTGCCGTTTTAAGGCATGGACACTCTGGACAGTCGTCAAGAGCCTCCAAATAAAACAATTTACAATTAAGATGAGATCCTAAAAATCAATTACTTATAAATTAATTCTCTGCAAAGAAATTTCTGATACACGTTATAATAAACTAAATTAAAAATTCTGTTTTGTAAAGTTTCATAAAATGTAATTTCTCCTTTTTGTTCAAATTTACAAAATGGATTCCACTGAATTTCATAATGCTTCCAGGAAAGCTTTTGGTTCTTGAACTGTAACAATCAAAATTACGAATTTTATATTAAAAGTTGATTATGAAATATTATTTCTTTCTTTCATGATACAAATTCCATATAAAATTTAATAGAAAGCACAGTATTACATTTAATTTCATTTTTTAACATTACTTTCAGTTCATTAGGTAAATATAAAAATATTACGATATAAGAATGTTCTTGAGAATATTATAGATAGTAGGTAGTGGAAAATGTGATAGGCTGCAACAGACATTTTGTCAGTTTTTCGTGTTCTTATAATTTGCTCCATCCGATATTACCGTCCCATTGCATGTTCTGAACAACGAAAGCATATTCATCTCGAACACCAGCTGGCAAAGTACCAGCTGCACAAAACGTAGAAATATTTTAAGATGAAATCCGCATAAAATCTATACTTCATAATAGACAATCGAAATTACTAAGGCCACGAGATTCGCAAACAATGGTTTCAGGAAGTAACGAAAACCCAAAATCAAGTCCTCCTAAATTAAGATCCAAATTATTTCAAGAATCTGTCAAAAATATATATATTTTGATATCGTATGTCAAGTTTTGATAAACAAAAAACATAAATAATTTGAAAATTGATAATTTCGAAGCTATCGAATAAAATTTTTTCAATCAGCTCTATATATCAAAACTAAGGTTTTGAGAAGTTCTGTTTTTTCTGTAATGCCATTTTCCTCACGATACTGTACTTACTTGCCTTTTAATTTATTTAATCGAAACGTCACTGAACGACAGCAGCCAGAGGTACAAAAGATCTTCTTGATGATCTTTCGCCACGGTACAACAATGAACGAAACGTTTCCACAGGCATTGACAATCCTGCTCGTTCACTTTGACGAAGGAAAACGAGAGGTTGCTCGTAAAGGGCCCAGTCGACTTCAATGATGCAAGAGAAAGCCTTTCTTCTTAGCGACTGTCACATTGTTAGCCGCGAATGACAGTATCTACAATGATCTGCCCACACCACCTTTCCCTGTTATGTGCCTTCTTTCTATGTCGAATAAAAGACGCCGCGATTCGCTTCAGGGAGACAATTTATACGAACATCTCATAGCTTCTGGAAACGAGTTTCTTGTTATCCTCTGTCTTAACAAGAATCGAACCAGAAATATGCCTTAAACAGCGGAAGAAAATAATATAGAAGCTTGAAGATCTGAAATACAATGTAATTGTTAACACCAGAATAACCAACATCAAATGTATTACAATATCTATACATTTTTCATTTCTACACCGTTTAAATAATTGCAAATATTGTTAATATTTCACACTTATTCTGTTTTTTGTACAAGATGAAATTTAATTAATTAATTTATTGTTAAATTTTCCCCTCTAATATTTTCAATTATTTATTGTTAGTTTTGTTGAGCATTGACTGATATTATACAATTTTTTTGAGGACACACTAGGTGCATCTTACACTGTATTGTAAACATTCGATGACACACTGGGTGCGTCATGCATTAATGATTTTCTAATTTTCTAACGCACTTTATAAACATTCCCAAATCATTTAAGTATAAAAGCAAATATAAAATTACTAGAACTATACACCTTGTAGCAAATCGATTCAGTTTAATTCTGAATCTTTGTTTGAGGGTCTCTCTTGTACTTGGCCTTTGCAAACGATGTGTATACTAAAGTTTCGCAAAAAGGAAAATCGTAACGAAGACTGCTTGGTGAAACAGCTTCGAAAGCCAAGGATAAACTGCTTGTTTACAGTCGCCAGTTTCCTTGCCCGTGTGTGTACATGTATGTATGCACGTGTGTGCATAAAGAGCTAAGAGAACTAACAGGCAAAGGGAGGAATACAAGGAGAATAGGGAGGAAGGAAACTCAGTAATTCCAATTCTAACGCCAACCCCCATTGCAAAACATGGCATTTGTGTACGTGTCCTCAATGGAATGACTCTTGAATCGCAATTAGTTAGAAGTTTAGTTTTGCACTGCCCTAAGTGGATCGTGGGCATAAAAGAACCACCAGAGACGAGTATTTTATGCTCTGCGATTTAATAATTCGATAAACAGAATAGAAATTTTACAGTTAATCGCTGTATAATTGAAAAAGGTTTAACTGTACAATATGACCCAATCAACTTGTCCGGATATAATCTGTAAAATAATAAAAAATAGAACAAAGTTCATTAAACAAAATTAAATGATATTGAATAAAGCATCACACGATACATGCATCGGCACCAGAAGTGGAGGCATTTCAAAAATTTCATTGTCATCATTTTTTTTAGATCATTCTTTTATGAATCGATTCTTCGTAAAAAAAAAAATTCTGAAACGTATTAGAAGTTAGAATTATTCCCATGATAAAATCCATTATGTCGGAAGTTAGGCAAGTGCACGCGTACCCGAATTCGAACAACCCCTAGCAATTTTGAATAGGTCAGAAGGTCAATGATAAGACGTCTAAAGGGTTGTATTTAAACCGAAAGTGGACATTTAGAGTAATTTCAATAGAAACAGCTGAACAACTGGTACGACACAAAAACAATTGTAACTCGGGGACAAGTTGTAATATAGTCAGATAGAACAAACATTTACATGAACCGTTAAATTTATGCGTGTTGAATTGACTGCTGAAAGTATATATTTTCATCTTATAGTACAGTCTACATGATACAGATTTTAATTTTGCATGTAATTTGACAGAAATATTTTTAATTTAAAATAAACAAATTATACCTAAACTTGTTTAGGCATCATAGAAAGCAACTACTTAACTTTATCTTATTTTTTTTTAATTTCCACATGAACCGTACGTTTAACTGGGCATAAAGTGCTCTCGAAAGTTCGGCAGGTGGTTTTCAGTAACAATAGAGCTGATTTCAACGGTGGTCTCTTCACCGAACCCTCGATGCTCGTTTTTAATTAAAAGTCTATACCAGGATAACGAACTGTATGTGTGTGGTATAGTTCACATCAGTTACATCTGCTTTCTCCCTGATTAATTACCATCGATTGATCCCCTCCGCTGATTCATTTCACGATCCCACGGTTGGAAAATTCTGCCAGCAGAGATAGAGATGGATAGAGGAACTGTACAGAGGTGTTGAAGAACTTTCAACGCGAATTTGCGTTTGCCATTTCATCATCAAAATTGCCTTTACTTCTTTTTCTATCACTGATTTGCACTTCTGAACGTTCGATAAATTAATAATTTTAAAACCAAAAATAAAATAAATAAATCCAACATAAATGATTAAAATTGATTCAAGAAAGAAACAATAAATAAATGTAATTGCTCGAACTGTAGGAACTATAAATATATATTTTGTTGCAAAATTTGTTATTAATATATCAAAATTTATTACAGTTAAAACGAATCCATAACAATCAATAGAAATTTCAGATTTAATCTCAATAACCATCTCTAGTGTAAATGATATTGTTGAATCGCGATGATGGACCGTAGCTTGTTGTTAAGCACGAGTTCAATTAATCCGGAAACAGCAGACCATGCTGATGAATTCTCGTTCCCTTTATAGAAGCGCTAGAAGCTTAATTCAGAACCAACAGAGATCGACGATGATTTTGCAATTCTCTCAACTCAACAACAGATTTCCGATTGTGTTGAACAGAACTCAATTTTCGTGTATTTACACGTAGTATGATCGGAGATATAATCGATCCTTGTTCGCATTAGCTCTCTAAAGGGAGAGTCGAACAGACGGGTTCACGCAAATGGATACCCCCTAATTACAATTCGTTAATGGAAAGAATCATTATGTATCTATTAGATCATTACACATCAAATGAACGATTTTTATATGTAAAAATTATGACTTGATTTCATGACATAAACGTGATATAAAATGGCACTTACGCTACGTTAATTTAAAGTTGAAAATTTAATCAATACGACTGGATACATGCAGCAAAACAAAAAAAGTAAATCTTGCAGGAAATAAATCCAATTGCTACAACACGAAATAGGATATTCCCGAGAGAATCCAATGTAACGATAAACGTTTTGCGACTGTTGCAGAAGATGGACGGTAACAAGGACGGCGTGGTGACGTTGTCAGAATTTTTAGAAGCTTGCCAAGCGGATCCGGATATCTCCACGAGTATGGCAGCATTAGACACGGCCTTCTGACACTCGGCGCGACCACGATACACTCCATGGACCTGAAGAGATTACTCGACGTTTTCTTTTTCGGAATAAATCGCTCAACGTTGTACCTTACCTTCTGGACCAGATGCATTTCTCCTCAAGGTGTATCACGAAGATCTCGAGCGACAACGAGAGTCATCGTGAATTTCAAAAGGGGGATTTGGTCGACTCGTTCTTCAGAGGAAACAGCACACACATTTGTCTCTTACAACTCGGTAGGAAAGAAAAGAATGATCGAGGAGTAAAAAGGTCGCGTCACAAGACACCCGGAAACTGTGTCTAAAAGTCGACCCAGAGAAAAGAATAGAGATTGTTCTTTCGAGAATCCGTAGTTCTAGTTCTACGTATGCGTACCGCTAGACGAGAAAGGGTTAGTTGAACGAGAATTTATTAAAAACCAAAAAATTACCAAAAAAAAAAATAAAGTAACGCAGAAGAACGATATTAACATGGTTGTTAGTAGTTACGAGTGGATAATTATTGTTACGAACTTGTAGTTCGTTTTTACGGGACGCGCGCTACAAACGATGAACAAACATGCAGCTAATTATATATATAAAGAAAAATGTTATTCGTAATGGTTGACGAGGATTAACGAAGAAATTTACTATAATTGCGTGGAAGTTGATGTTTAATGATAAAACGGATCGTTATTCCTGTAGCACTCGTGCGATTCTCGAAGGAGAAGAGGAAAAAGGAAATTGTTGAAAGAAATATGCCGTTTAAAAGTAAATTGTACGCGGCATTGTTCGTTCCAGAGAATAGTTGTATAGAGAAGCACAGATATTCAAAACAGAGTATTTATATGAGAAACAATAATTGAGCTTAGCTTTGTACAGTTACTCTTTAGTTGTTCTTTATCTTTCTTTTCTTTGATCGAAAGGAAACAAAGTGAAACGTTTATTTTTCACTTTGACAAACTCATTTGCACGGTATTGTAAGATGAATAGTAAGGTAGTTTAGTTTTTAACTAAAAGGATATTTTTTTACCAGCCTATTATTTATTACGCAGAACGTCAAGTTTAAAATTTATATTCATTAGGTGATTTCATATGTATTATTATTTTTTATAAATTTAATTATTTATCAATTTTCTGTGCAGAAACAGAAACATAACAAATGTATATAGAAAAATTTTCTTCGGAGATTCATTCTTTGTGATGAAATTAATTTTTTAACTAAATAACTTTTTTTTGCAATTTCTATCGAATTGATCTAATATTTTTTGTCGATATTTATATTATATTTGTTATTAAAATTGTTTGTAAAAGCGACTTATGAAATGACCTAATAATTAAAATTACATAAAATATAAATGAAGCAGATTCTCTGATCTGCTCCCAATGTTATTATTTTTCATTTCTTAATATTGTAGTTTTTTTAATTTTATTTTGATACCACCATTGTTTGCCGTAAAAGCATGTGGTTGGGCTTCGAATTTCAAATTCTGTCCGCGATCGTAAAGCATCAAATGAATATAAACTTTGTCCATTCTGTACCAGACGATCGCGGATCATCGTTAAACTTTCAGCTGCACAACGAGATATTAAGAAATGGATCTCGGATTAACACGTTGGCTGTCACGTAACATTTGTCGAATCACAGTAAAAACTAAAATTTCCTAAATTATTCTTGTTAACCCTTCTTTAAGGGTGCAAATATTACAAATTCTGAATAATTCATTTTTTCTTTTCTTATATCATTTCTGTTCACTTTGGTATATTATAAATGTTTAAACATCCGCTATCCGATAATAAATTATTAGTTTATTCGTTATTTATTCATAATTCGAAGTAACTTCAGCCCGGTACTGACCCAGATATTGACACAGTGGCAGTCAAAGTGTTAAATTTTCAGCATGCTTAGATCGCAACGTTGAACGTTAGGCAACAAAAAGAAAATAAAGACGAAAGAGAAAATAAACTTAACTCGAAATGTAGAAAGTATATATAAAAAGAGATATCGTAAAAACCCGCTGGAGCAGCTGGCCATGTTAAGCGGGGGTCGTTTCTAGTTGATAAGAGAGTAGATTAAGCGATACAGTAAAAGTATTTATTTTTGTGACAGGTAAGTGAATTATTATTATTATTATTATTACTATTATTATTATTATTAATCGTGGTATAAGAATTTAGCTCGTAAAGACTGCGTGCTGCTAAAGAGAGAGAATTAATGCAAATAGTCTGTAACGTTGTGGGTGGAGAAAAAAAGAGTCTCAGATAGAAACAAATTGCGTGGAAGGGTTTGTTGATTTTCCATTTGAAGGAATCCAAGATACCGAATTTTTATTGTGATTAGTAACATTTTTGCAATGACTGGACCAAAGCGTCCGCGTCGGGTAACGACGATACCCCGTGCGAAATATATATTTAACCGTTTTTCATCACTGCCCATTTCTGATAAAGTATAAATAAAAATGGTCGGTGTGTGCTCGAACGAACGAAACGAGGCTAACGATGCATCGAAAGCATAGTTCGAATCCTTTGAAATTCAGCCGGATGGGGTTGGAAATGTTCGAACGAAAGGAGAACAGACCTGAGCTAATTTCAGTTGAAATTACTCAAATAAGAAATAATTGTTTGAAATAACATTTCAGTATGTTGATTGAATACACAAGAAATAGAAATTTATTTGAAATAATAACAATTTCATTGTGTTTTTTTTTATTTTATAAAGAAGTAATTTTTTAGATAATTGAAATAAAATCTTGAAAATGTTCAGGTCTGAAAATTTTCTTCTCCATCCGTTAATTTTTCCGCTAAAAAAAGTAATAAAATTTCGTTGGTAAAAGTTTCCATTACATTGTTTTTGAAGTTTTAACTTTTCAGTTATTGTATCCTTGTAACGCTATTTTTCCTAGAGGAATACTTTGCTCGATACTATACATTTTTAATAATAACACGAGAATGCTATTGTTAATTTATAATGAAGATATAATATGAATTATTCAAAAAGAATAATATAGTTTCAGAAATGAAGCCTTCTGTCAATAGCTTGTATCCAATGATTGACTTATTATTTTATATTGTTAAGGTGACTTATTTATTTTACATCAGTGTTGTAGTACTTGTATCCGAAATTTGGAATGTAACTTTTGTGATACAATTACTTTAAGAGTATCAATGACAACGTGGAACATTTGTCGATGCATCGAGATGGCCAGAAACGAAGACAATGAAAAGTCGAAACGAAAGCTGATTAGTTGAGAAAACGACGGGACACGGACATAGATATAGGCAGTACAGAAATACAGGAACAGAGATTTCTCCGATTTTTAGCAGCGCCTACACTTTAGAACATAAGAATTTACGTGTAAAGGTGAGGCAAACGTCGATGGTTGCCTCGTATCAAACTCGATCACTACCGCATGTCTTTGAAGTTACTGATGTAAGTATAAAGAAAGGCAAGAGAACGGAGTAACTATATTGTCTAGATATTTTCAACCTCAACCGAATGTTAGATCTAGATTGTCAGAAAAGAAAAACGCGTAAGGTATTTTCTTGTCCACATCGTTAATCAAGAATAAGATAGAACTAATTACAGTAAACGCTATTTATTTAATCACGATCAAAATCATAGGAAATATTTATTATTATTAAATTTATGACCCAGTTCATAATATTAATACATAGTCCAGTTACCAAAATAAGGACATATTCGCGAGGTAAATTAATTCGGTGCCAATGTGTCCCAATTAATTAAAATTTACTGTATTCGTATAGAAGGTGTTTCATACAACTGGGATAAACTATAGCCTCAAAACCGTAGAAGACAGGCAAAATTAAATGGTGTTGAATAAAACATTATGTGTTACATATTACAATTCCGAAAGTGGAAGTATTTCAAAGATTAAAAAGAAACTATACAGATTCGTAAAAAAAAAGGAATACTTGCATTTCTTTTTCTTTAACAAAATTGTACATCTCTTTTTTTTAATAATTAATTCTATCTTATACTTAATCAACTCACGTTCTAAACACGTAATGCACACACAGAGAACACTAAAATACACGTACACACACATTATCACTAACAGAGAATTGTCTTATCTTATAGCGTGTCTAGAGGCTTGCATCTGTAAGACCTTGTATCTATGATTAGAAAAAAAAAAACGTAACCGATCGATCTAATTAATTACATCATTGTCGATCGTTAGTCAAAACTGTTATTACATATACGTATTTAACGTGTCTTCTAGAACGCCTTGGAGAAAAGGTGAGAGTTCAAAACTATCCAAAGGTCGTTAACTATGAATCGAATGAAACTTCAGCTGGATTTCAAATTAAATTGGCGATCTCACCGACGAGCATACACTTCAAAGTGTTATTTCAAATTCGCATTGTACGAGAGATTAGATCAGACCTGTCTACGAAATGCTCTGAAAATAAGCCTTAGAGAAGCAAATAGAGGAGGCCATCCTCTTACTTTTTATTTCCTTTTCGTCATTTTAATATTTCTCGTTAAACGAGGCGCTTTTTTATTTGGGTTAATGACAGGGGTGGAGTATGACTTGAATTTTAACGAGATTAGTGACACAAGAACTCTCTTAAAATACGGGGTCTAATTTTAATTAATTAGCCCTAAATCTCTATCAAGAATTTTTTCGAACTCCTATTTTTCGATATTGATTTATCTTTTGTTATAAAAGATTGCCATAAATTGTCAGGAGGACAAATTCTTGGACAGGTCTGAGTTAGACACCCAAGGAACGCGGACACATAAATCATTTATCAAAACGATATAAAAATCTTACTTTTTCGAAACAAATTAGCGAACAGAGAGTATTTTTCTGGCGTTATTCCTAAGGACCAGATTTCGTATTTTCTAAGGGCGCAATCGAGGAAAGAGTTCCTCGAAGGGAGAGAAAAGAAAAAGCGTTTCTCTTTAGTTCATCGATGGAGACAATAAGAACCGGTTCGAAATGATTCTCTCATTTGAATCGTTCGTATACCTATCACTTGCACAACACTAGTTTCATTCTGCTATTGAAAGAAAAAACTAAATTTGCATCGCTTCAAGATACTTTACGCGAAAGTGGAGTCCTAAAATCCTGCACCCTTCTTCAACGATCAAAAACAATGCAACATATCGCCTAACAAATTTCTCAAATTCTTCATTCTGTAATAAAGAAGAAATGTTACTAACGAACAAGTACAAAGGTAATGAAGTGAATCTCGATTGGCTCCACTTGAAAGGATAAAAAGAATGAAAGTAGGCACACTGTATTTGGATAGAATTCAATTATATGCAGATATTGGACAAAATAATGGATATGTTTGTTATAAATATAAATTTATTTTGTTAACGCATTGAATACCAGCGAGGGTTATTAGTATATTTATTATTGCATGAAAATATTAAATATTTTTTTCTTTATTAATACAGTTTTTCAAGTAACACTTTCCACTTGCTACTTTACAAAATAAATGTAATATTAATGCTACTTTTTTCGGTTATTTAATTGTATTAAATTTTAATTAATTATTAAGCTGGCACTTTGAAACTTT